AATAAAATGAGTGTAAAGTGAGTATTTGGTGGCATACATCATACCTTATATACAATGATTGCTTTGTATGACTCATTTAATTTCACTGTCCCAATAGTTACACTTTTCACAGTATATTGGTATTTTCTACACTGCAATCTAAAGCTAAAATCAGACACATGCACATCTTAATCTAAATAATTAGTTCTTGTTTCTCTTTCTAAAAAATCGGTGTTCTTTAATACGTATGTTTTATGGAAGTCAAGCATTCGTATTAAACTCTGTCTCAGTCTTTAGAAGCAGTTGGGCACCTAAATCATTTCAGAAATAAAGTATTTGACATAAGTAGCCTATAGGAATTCCTATTTATATGTAGAAACTATACATATAAGTAGGAATTACATCAGTTCTAATGCCTAGGAGATATAAAATCCCATTTAAAATGTTCTTAGCACTTACTTTAAAACTACTTTACATTCAAATCTTTAAGAGATTTTCCCCATTAATCATATTTAATACTTCAGGTCAACTCTTAGGATATCTTCTTGATATGTCCCCATGATTATACTGCCAAATCACTTCTGGGACAGTGCAGGGTGACCCTGCCTCAGTCGGATATCAGTGGTGGTTTAGTTTCCAGGGAATATCTCTCCACTGTAGTCCGAGACATGCATCACTGGTCTATTACAGAGTGCTTCTGAAGTGGTGGAGGAATTAGCTTTTTTCTTCTCCCTGGCAGACCCATTTTCTCAGACCTGGGATTATGCTTATTTTTTTATTTTACACTGTCTTCAGAGGTCTGGAGCACCTGTAGGCACTGCTGTTCCATCAGCCTAAAGGCAATTTCTCCTTGTGAGTGGTCCTTGACCTCCGTTGTACCTGCAACACTCATATTGAGGAAAACTGCCCCTGTGTATCAGGAGGCTTTTGACAGCTGCTCTGGAATAAGTCCAGAGAAGAGAAACTAAACATACTTTGGGGCATAAAGGATGACTTACACTGTCACAACAGAGAAAACTATGAGGAGAGCTTTGAATCTCTCCACAAAAACTGTTAACAAGTTCACCCCATAGATTTCTCCAGAATTGGCAGTGAAACATGAATCAGATGACACAAGTGGAAGCATTGTGGAAGTCTAATTGGAACAAGGAACAGGAGGCACTTTACACAAATGGTTGGAGGAGTATGGAACAAGCTGCACCGCTGATAGAAGAAAAGTTCTGGTAGATTTCTCAAGAATCAGCATTGAAACATGAATCGGAAGACAGATAACATAATTGGAAATCACGTGGAAGTGCACTTAAAAATGAGAACAGGAGGAACTTCTTTACCCAAAGGGTAATGGCATATATGGTATAAATTACACAGCCATGTTGTTGAAATAAATACTCTACTTCTTTCAAGAGTTACTTATATTTTCTACTGACCTTTTTTCAGTAGGGTTTACGGTCCTGAAGTGCAGCCTCCTCTCTTTGTCAGAGTCAAACAGACTCATGTCTTTTACTCAGGGCTAGTCTTTTTTACCTAGAGTGGAGTGTTCAACCCATCTCATCCTAGGTATTACACCCCCTGCAACATTACTGTATATTTAAATACGCATTTAAGCAGGTGATGTCTTGGGACATCTTATACAGTATAAGGATGTGTACTTTGCAGTCCTGTCATGCTGAGCTCTCTTTAATGTTATCACTTTCAACTATGGTTCTTAAAATGCTGGGCTCCTTCCCTCATATTGCACATTCAATATCACACGTACATTGACGAAAATAAGACCCTTAGATCCAACAGCATCATAGACTATGGAGATTGGAGCTCTCTTATTCTACAGATTTTGTCTACTGGAACTGCTGGTAGATAATCCTGATGCATCTTCTTCTGCCTGTTCTGCCATTCAGGGCTTAGCTGGCAGAGCCCTGTTTGGTCTGTGTGGAGGATGCAAAAATCTTATCGGGCCTTTTCAGTAACTGAATTACCCTTCTGTAGTTCACCTTGTCACCCTGACCCTACTGTACATTACTCATTGCCCACATTTCAAAGTGAGGATGATGGGCCAACTTCAAGGCTACATACAGTAAATCCATAAAACATGCCAGCAGCCATATCACCCTGAAACTCATAACTGGCAAAATACTGAAGCTAAGCATGTGTGAACCTGGTCAGTACCTGGATGGGAGACCTCCTGGGAAAAACTAAGGTTGCTGGTGGAAGAGGTGTTAGTGGGGCCAGCAGGGGGCACTCACCCTGCGGTCCATGTGGGTACCAATGCCCCATTGTAGGGACGAGGACACTATCCTGTAAACAGGCGCTGTCCTTCGGATGAGATGTAAAACCGAAGTCCTGACTCTCTGTGGTCATTAAAAATTCCAGGGCGTTTTTCAAAAAGAGTAGGGGTGTAACCCTGGCGTCCTGGCCAAATTTTTCATTGGCCCTTACCAATCATGGCCTCCTAATAATCCCCATCTATAAATTGGCTACATCACTCATATTCTCCTCTCCACTAATAGCTTATGTGTGGTAAGTGCACTTGTGGTGCACTTTGGCTGCCATCGCATCATCCAGATGGATGCTGCACATTGGCGGTGGACGGGGAGTCCCCATTACCTGTAAAGCGCTTTGAGTGGAGTGTCCAGAAAAGCGCTATGTAAGTGTAAGCTATTATTATTATTATTAAAACCAATTTTCCTCAGGTTGCTTCTGTAAGTATTTTTGGTTGAGCAGTGGATGGCACTCTTACCTCTGGACCCATATTTCCAAAAAAACAATACCCTGATATAGTGACTGGTGATACTGTGCTCTAGAAGGTGCTGTCTTTTGTATAAATGCTAAACCAGGATCCTGACTACTTGGTCATTAAAGATTCCATGGTATTTGTCAAAACAGTAGGGGTGTTAACCTAAAGCTGCCTCATAGGCAGGAGTCTGTATTATCACGACCACACTAATGATATTCTGCAGAAAGATTCATTGATGGCATGTGATTGAACTGCTGTTTTGAATTGTCACTGACTGAGATGTATAGTGTTAAACATAGAGGCTTTGTAATATTTAATCAGAAGTTTTATGTTACCCAGCCATTTAACATAATGCTGTGCAGCCCCATCCCTGCTGTTAATTTTGTTGATAAAATAGTTCCTTAATAGACATCATTTTATTTTTCCAGCAGCTAGAGTCATCTTTCATCCACTTAACCTCCTTTGCAATTATATCACATTCTTCAGGGTGGATGTCAAAAATCATTCATCATTTGAAGGTTGCTCTTGTCTGGAAAACAAAGTCTTTGAAGTGCTTTATAGAGTCTTTATTAATATACCTGACAGGTTTTTTACAAGGATGATTTTTTTTCTTTTCTTTAAAACTTATGATACAGTAGTGCATGCAGAGAATTATAATTTAATTCCTCTGAAACGGTACAAGGATCATTTCTAGATTTTGATGCTGCAGGTGCAGTCAGAGGTAGTTTACAATAGGCAGGGGGCAATCGTCTTGGAAATAGGTATTGATTATGGCCAGTGTTAAGAATTACTCATGTGGAATAATATTTCATATCAGAATATTGCAGTGGTGTACCAAGCTTGGTTCCTTGAAGTTCAAAGTTATGACAGCTCATTCCTTATATTATTCGTCAACAGTATCATACTGCGGTTTGCTTTATATACACAAGAAAATCTGATCTTACAAATTGGACCACATACAGATGCAGCCATTCAAAATGGGT